TGTGCTTCTTTCATGTGGGCCTTGCTGCCCCTGAGCTAGTTGGCCACTTGTTTATCTTCAAGCCTTTAAGACCCCAGATGCTATATCTTTTGATAGCTGGGCACCATCATCTTTCTTCACCACATTTGCTTATGCACACGTTTGTCTTCAGTGATCGTATCAGGAAGGTGGGCTACCACTGGTATGATTTTTAGTTCTTTGATGTCTGATAACTGGTCCCTTCTATACCTCATGGTCAGACAGGCTGGCATGCTTCTTCCATGCGGGCCCTGATGCTTCTCAGATAGATGGCCACTTGTTTATCTTCAAGCCTTTAAGACCCCAGATGCTATATCTTTTGATAGCTGGGCACCATCATCTTTCTTCACCACATTTGCGTATGCACACGTTTGTCTTCAGCGATCGTGTCAGGAAGGTGGGGAGGGTTTGGATGATTTTAATTGGCTTGTATTTATTTTCTTGGTGGTTTTTTTTTTTGGGGGGGGAGGGGGCGTGTCTAATAGGATCCGGGAAACATAGAGTGGTGAAAAGGTGAGAAATATGAGTAAGTGGGGAACAGGGGGGTGGAGAAGAAAGAGAATAAAATAAAAGTAATGATAGTAATAATAAGCCACCATCTGGCTAGGTCAATAGATTTTTTTTTTTAAATAATAAGATAATGTGTTTTAAGAAGGGTAAACAACATTAATAGGCTTCGTGGAAATATATTTCATGAGGAAAACGGGAGCGCAGAAAGAACTAATGGGTGAGGCAGGAGAAAAGTGTAAGCTAATGTTCAATCCCGAAGAGGATAGGAAGAAGCACAGTTCCAGAGGAAAAGAGGGAAGGAAGGAAAATAGAAAAGGGGGAAAGGTTCAGCCCGGTCGGGGCACGTGACCACCAATGGGCTACCATTTTGCATTTTGTGTGTTTATTTGGAACAAAAAGTAAGGACTGTGGCTTCACTGCATGAACCAGGTACAAACCATGCAAATGTCTTCTCTTCTTTCTTTGTGCTTCCACTGTCACCCGATTTTATTCAACAACCCCCACCCACCCAATTACACCTGAGGTTACTATCACCCCACCCACTCACCCCTGGTCATTCCTGCCTTGCCCCCCACCAGGGGGCAGTATCACCCACTTTGGGAGCATTACTCATCTGCACTGCTGCTGCTTCCTTCCCTCCCCCTCCCCCTCCCCCTTGCCCTCTTTTAATCTTCCCCTGTCTGGTCCCTGCCTGCCGTACCACTGCCATCATCCCCTACCACTTTCTCTCCTGCACACCTGCCTTCTGTCTCATCTAACATGGGGCAGACCCTCCCCTGGGCCCCACCTCAGGGCCTTTGCACCTGAACTTCCCGTTGCCTGGAAGGCTCTTCCCAAACCACTTTCTGTGGTGGGCTCTCTTCAGTTAGCTCTCAGCTCACTTGTCTCCTTCACAAGCCCTTTCTAGCGGAAGTAACCAGCTTGGTCACCTGCCTTCAAGCCACCTCGATTTCACTCTCTGCCTAGAAGTACCCAACGCCACTGCCAAGTCTCCTCGCTCCTGTGCTTGCTTAATGTCTGCTTCTCTTACTAGATGGAGCTCCACAAAAACAGCAGCCTTGTCCTTCTGCATCGCCCTTCTGTCCTCAGAAACTAGGGCAGTGCCTGGCGCCTTGGCCACCTTCCGAAAATCATTTGCTGATTAGAGGAAGACATTTGTGGCCGATCTGTCTCTTGGAGCCCTGGTGACACAGTGGGTTAAGCATCGGCCTTCTAATTGGCAAGATCCAAGATGTGATCCCACCAGCCATTGGGTAGAAACAAAAAAAAAAAATGATGTGGCAGTTGGGTTCCATAAAGCTTCAAATATATATATACAGTGAACCCTCGCCACTTCACGCTTCGACTTCCCAGGCTTCACTCTATCGCGGTTTTTGCGTAACAGCGCATGCTCTGTCATTACTGCCACTGATTGGCTCATACTGTACACGCTTCTGTCTGCATCGCTACGTATCGGAGCTACGTATCAGATGCATTTTGCTTTTGTACAGTGTACTGTAATTGTTTGCGATTTTTAAGAAATTTTATCTAAGCCCTATGATGGCTCCTAAACGAGCTGCTTCTTCTAAGCCTTCTGACAATAAAAATAAGCGCCAGAGGAAGATGCTCACCATCCAGGAAAAGGTAAAACCTTTGGATATGATCAAAGATGGCAAGAAAATCGTGGAGGTTGCACGCCATTGATTGCAGTATTTGTAAGAACTATGTATAATAATACTGTATGTGAAATATGTAATACTGTAAACTAGATGCCATAAATAATATAATAAATAATAAATGATAATTGTAACGTCCAAAATGTTTTACTGTATTTTCCATTTTTCGTTTAATAAATTGGGTAATACGAATGTAATGGTGACTAAAGGGTGTTTTTTCATGTCCTCTATGCTCTAACTATGAAAATATTTGATTTACAAATAAAGAATCCTACTTCGCAGAATTTCATTTATCACGGTAGGGTCTAGAACCGATTAACCGCGATAAACGAGGGTTCACTGTATATCCATTGGTACTCTAGGGTCACTAGAGAAGCCCTAATGACACAAGATTAGTTTGGAAAAAAAAAAAGACAAGGCTTTCTACTCTTGTAAAGAGTTCTGGCCTCTGAAACCCACAGGGACAGTTGTGCCCTGTCCTATAGGGACATCCACTATGAGTTTGAAGGGACTCGATGTCAGTGAGTGAGTGAGTGAGTGAGTGAGTGAGTGAGTGAGTGAGTGAGTGAACATTGCTACGAGTCAGAATTGATTCCACTAGGTTTATCTGTTTCTTCTCAACAATTTCTTCCCCTCTACCTTCCAGGAAGGGCTTTCAGGGTGCTGTTCACACATCAACAGTAAGAATCGTTGGGGAGAGGATTGTGTTCTGCCACGTGCAGATTATGAAATATTAATGTGGCCTGTCTTTCCCTTCTTGTGTATCCATTCCTATTAATGTTTATGGATCATCTATTCTGCCAAGTAGGTGGTGTAGACACAGTGGGGAATCGATCCCTGCCATTTCCCTTTCTTCCCTGTACATGGTTTTATAAGGAAACATATCTCTCTGTCCCTTCTCTTTCTTATACACTCATATCTATCAAAAGCAAAAACAAAACACCCACTGCCATTGAGCCAATTACAACTCATGGCAACTCTGTGGGGCAGAGGAGAAATGCTCCATTGGGTTTTCTTGGCTATAATCTTTATGGGAAAATACAGCCAGACCTCCTTCTGCAGCAGGACTAGGTGGGTTCACACCACCAACCTATAGGTTAATAATCAACCTTGCAGTCATTAGCTGAATCCCGTCATTCTTTCCTATCTTCCACCCAGTGGTGTACTGGCACGGGTTCAACAGGATTGTAAAATTCAATGGTTCAATATTTAGGAATTTCGTGAGCTAGCTGCTAGACTGTTGGTAACTTAAAAGCAGACATGGTAGAAATAAGCCAATGCTACAAAGCAAGATCCTTAGTTGCTTATGCCAAAAGTTTGCAGAAGGCTATGGACGACCAATTTGCTCTTGCATAGGAGGCGAATGGAAATACCCTGGCTTGGGTCAGGCCCACCTTAGTCCTCTCCCCAAAGTTTACCCCATCTGTTCCCTAGAGCAGCAGGAAAACAAACTCTCTATGTTGTGCTGCGAGGGCAGAAACAGAGCGAGCTTGAGAGAAGGACCTAAGTAGAAGGCGGCAAAGGAAATAAATATGTGTGAGGCTGGGTTGAGTAGGAAACAAATCCAGTGACACTAATAGATGTCTAAGAAAGAGCTTTATATCCAGAAGTAATTATATGTACTAAGAAAGCATCCCAGCCCACTCCAACTCGAGTCCGTAAGTCTGATACTAGTGCAGAGGTCCCTTTTCAGACTCACGCAGTCACATGCAATGATGCAGCATGCAAGACCACAGGGTGCAAAGTCTTGTGGATTCAATGGCGGTGGACACATCTCCGGGCTCGGGCAGATCTCAGAGTGGCTCACCAGCAGGAAGGTGAAGACGGAGAGGTGGGGTGGGAGGAGGGGATGTTGGAGGGAGGATCCCAGGACCCTCCTTAAGAGAAGGTCACACCCACAAGGAGTCACCATCAGGCTGGGGCCTGATTGACAGGTTGAATACCATTCCTACACGTTTCTGTATCTTCAAGTTGACATGAAACTCTGCAACTACCACACAACCCGTGAAAGAAAGCGCAAGAAAGGAGCAGCAGGAAGTCAGTGAGGACAGAGACGAGAGCAGAGAATGTAGGGATCGGCCAATGCCCACCACACAATGTCCTCACCGGCAATTGCATAGTTTCCTCACCTGGGCTCCGAATGTCTCTAGGATGGCATCAGAGATGAGGAAACCACCTTCCCAAACTACTCTTGAAACAGGGAGGAAGTGGGGACCTACCTCTCTGAGTCCAGGAGGACAAGGGGCCTGGGGCTATGGACTAGTGTGGCCTGGGGGCTAGGGTACTTCAGAGTCTAATGATTATGGGGCTGCTGAAGGCCCCGAGCTTCTGAGTCTGAGGCAGGAGGGGGCCAGGGTCCCAAATTCCTAGGTCCAAGGGAGGAAGGGACTAGGTGCTGAGAGTGTTGGGGATGCAATCGGGGAGGCATTGGACTGCTAACCATAAGGTCAGCAGTTCAAACCCACCAACTGCTCCGAGTGAGAAAGATGAGCCTGTCTGCTGCAGTGAAGATTCTGGTCTCAGCAGCCTTGTATGGGTCACACTGAGGCAGAATCAGCTCTTTGCCGGTGGGTTTGGCTTTAGGGACTTGGGGGAGGGAGTCCAGGGGGAGGAGTCTAGATTCCTGAGAGAAGAAGAGGGGTCTCAGCTTTCAGGCCCCTCAAGCAGTTGCAGACCCAGAGGGAGGGGCCCAGAACTCTGGTTCTGGAACTTCCCTCTTGCCCCACCCTTTTCCTGGATTCCTCTGGAGAAGCTATAAAAGGGCAGTGGTTTCCGAGGAGAAAGAAGAAGTGCCAGCGGCCCAAGGGCAGCCTGATCATGAACTCTGCCCCTCTGCTGGCCTTTCTGGGGGTCCTCCTCATCCTGCCCCGTGAGTGAGGATCCCAATTCAGAGATTGGTCACCTGGGACTGTTCCCTCAGAAGGCCGTGGGCGGGGTGGGGGTGGGGGGCTTGCTAAGATGCCTTTGATCCTCCCGTCCCAGGAATCAAGGCCCTGACCTGCCAACAAGGGTTCCTGAGCTCTGAATACAACCTTAAGCCTGACGAGCATGTCTCCTGGACTGTCAACAGAGAACAAGTCTGTCAGGACGGCTGGGGTTGCCAAGACACGCTGTTGTTCATTCAGAATGGTGAGGAGGCCCGCAGGCCCCAGCCCTGGGCCCACATCCCGGCTGAGCCCCACCTGTGTTTTGGGTAGAAATTTGGGAGACCCCCTTCCGAGCACCAGGAACTGCTGGGGCTCAGGGGCGGGGCTGGCGTTAAGGTGAGTGAGGGGTGGTGGTTGCCAGTCACCTCCTCTCCAGCCTCCCTCGCCTCTGCCAGGAGCCTAGCATCCTCCCCACACGCCGGCCCTGGGCCTCCCTACCCTGTGTAGGACCCCAGGTATATGTGGTGCTCAACAAGGATTGCACTCAGGCTGCGGACCAGGAGTCCCAAGTCACAGAGCACAGTTCCGGCCCTGGCCTCTCCGTCATCTCCTACCACCACGTGTGCCGGGACAAGGATTTATGCAATGACCTCTCCAACACCATCCCCACCTGGGCACCTTCCAACCCCAAAGGTAGTGAAGGCAGTGGGGGTGGGGTGGGGGGGAGGCGCACTGCGGGGGCTGAGGGGGGAGAGGGGAGTGTGGAGGGACTGCTTATGTAAAACACTCTCCTCTGCCCCTCTTGCTTGCTCCTCCACAATCCCTGTCCAACCCTCTCCCTTCTGCCTTTGCCCCTTCCTCTGGCAAGATGGTTAGGTTAGGTTTCTTGGGTTAGAAATACCTTGGACCTTGGCTTCCCGCCAAGTGCGTTTCTGTAAAGGATAGAAGGAGTTTCAGGTTTTACACAGACAGCCTCAGGGCACTTCACACCTGCAGGGGGAGGCCTGAGGTCAAGAGGAGCCCACTGAATGGGCAGCAGAGGAGCAGCTGGGAAAGAGGGCAGTGGGCTTCAGATCCTGGCTTTTCAGGGTCCTCCGCTGGGAGGCATGGTCGACGGTACTGGTTGACCCCATTGGCTGAATTAAGCTCACCTGGTCTCGATGGGGTCCCACCCAAGTGTACTTGCTTCCTGTCTCAAAGACCTGAATGTGAGCATGCCCACCAGCCTTAAGCAGCTTCCAACTTCCTGTAAGGGGGGAAGGGAGGCTTTGGCAGGTAGAGGGACAACCGCTAGCTCTGCCTCTAGCTCCCTAACAGAATTACCTGTTACCTAAAGGTCAGCCAGCTCCAAAGCACCCGGGGCTCCTCAGAGAAAGATGTTTTTCACCCCTCTGCAGACTCACCGTCTCGAACACACACGGGGGTGGGGGGGTGGGGCATTCTACCCTGTTCTGGAAAGCCGTCAGGAGTCCGAATTGGACCGGATGACAGTGAGGTGGTGGAGTTTCCACCCCATGGCCCACTGTCTTGCTCACTCCCTGGCTCCCTTGCTTCCTCCCTCCTGGCCCCTCCACCTCTCCCATGATTGCTTCCTGGCTGGTTCTCTCCCTCCCTCCCTGGACTCCTGGCTTCTATCTGTCCCACTCCTGTGCCCCACGGACCCACTCCCCAAACATCTGCCCGCGTCTCAGATAAGAAATCCGCCCGACTGGTGGTGATCTACTTGGGCATCTTGCGTCTTCCTCTTTTTCTGCAGGCCTGGGTTGGGTTCCCTGATGCTTCCTTCATTGAGAGGTTTTTGGGTTTTTTTGGTTTTGCATCTCCTCTTCCTAAAGAGCCCAGGTGGCAGTGTGGGTGAGGCAGCAGGCTGCTAACTGCAACCACAAGATGGCACTTCAAACCCACCAGCTGCTCCTAGGGAGAGAGAGGAGGCTGGACAGTGGTG